TTATATATACATATATATATATGTACATATATATGTATAAACGCATTGAAGTCTCTGTGTTTGGTCTCTGCAGGCAGATGGCTGATGAGAGCCTTCATTGCAAAGGAGCACTTAACAAGATATTTTAAAAGTTCTGCATCGGTATTAGTGAGAAAATATTTTGTCTAAGAGCATCGAGTGTGTATTTGTATTTTTTTGCAAGTGAAGGTTTACAATTTACAAAAAAAAAGTGTGTATTAAAAAAAACAAAGCTGCAGAAGGAATTTAAAATAATATAAAGTGTATTTTTTTCCAGTCTGTATATATGTACAATGTTTGTTTGGGGATTTATTTTTGTTTTTTTCACAGTGCCTTTCTTTTCAACTAAACTAAATCCCAGTTGGTACGGTCTAAGATTGTTAAAGAGGGGCAGGGCAAACTCTGGATGGAAAAAGTCTTTGTTCTTTTTTTAAAAAAAATAATAATTTGGTCTCATTTTATACACTTGTGTTACAATCAGTCAATCTCGGGTGACAGGGTTTGGGGTACATCAAACTGCATTAATGCATTCTGTAAAATATAGCTGTACAAATCCAAAAAATAAAACAGCAGAACCATGAGCCGAAATGCGTGAGGTCATCCTTTATCCGAAAATGTCTGCCTCCGTCAGTCGCTTCTGGCGCAAATCCTGTGGGGCAGTCTGGAACAGTCTTTGGACTGAGCAATCCAGGCTAGAACTTTTTTAGAACTGAGCAGGAAAGAAATAGCAGCAATGAATTATAAAGGAAAGGAAAGGAATGAATTGATCAATCAATCAATCAAATTCTGATTGAGCTGCACATCTTTCTGCGTCCTAAATCTCTTTGCCTGGATTTTTGCAACCTAGATCCAGTAGCCCTAATCTGATTCTAATACAAATAATTCTAATTTCTAATTCAAATTCAAATCAATTTGTAACTCAAAGACCACATTTACACAACCCACGTAGCCTGGTGATAGAGTTCACCCTTTTTTTCCAGGTTCACCAAATACACGGAGCCATCAGTGAATCCAACGAGCTGGGTTCCCACATCCTGCTAAATCACATAGACCAATAAACCAACATTAATTTGATCGGCATGGCAGGGGATGCCAGACTGGGAAAAGTTAAGGAAACAGCATTTCTTGGTTAGAGACTTTCTGCCCAAGAAAAGGACATTGTTCACACCAAAGAGCCCATCTTTAAATTCAAGTCACCCATTCTGAAAAGTGAAGATAATTTATTTAATTTCTTTGTTTGAATGTTTTGATCCTGCCCAGAATTGTTGAGAATGGGGCAGCATACAAGTTTAATACATTATTATTATTATTATGGGTAATCTACAATTAGATTCACAGTCAGACTGGTAAAAACTTAATAATTCAAGTCCTAATCAAGGACCTAAGAACTATTAAGGTAGCATCTGAGAATATAGGCAGTCCCTAGCAGTTTTTTTTTGTAAAATTAGGGTGTTCAGGTCCAATCAATTCAACATTTCCAAATATCAAAGGAGTCCTTTAGATATTGTTCTGAGGGCTCTGATCACGATTATTATAACAGTGGATTTCTATTTCTGCAAGCGTTCAACTTGGATCTGCAAGTCCCGGTATTTTGTAATTTTTTCCAATTTGCTGTTTCTCAATTCTAGCATCACCTGATATAGCAATATCAGTGACCCAGACTTTCTACTTTTCAATGGCTGTTATATCAGGCATGTTATGAACAAGATATTATTATTATTATTATTATTATTATTATTATTATTATTATTATTTATTTTCAGGACATGCTATTCTTTTTGCAACTGTTAGCATTATCAGGCAAAACCGGAATCGCTGGAAGCTATAGCACAATCACTATAAGTAAACTGACCACAACAGATACAAAGAGTTGGAAATGGAATGGTCTTGGCATTCTTCCGCCATGGGTCCTGGAACGGGCACTAACGTCAGGTCCAGATTGCAGGGGAAAACGTTTTCCCAATGCACAGACATTCTGAAAAGAAAGGGGAACGCACCACGTGACCGTACGATGGCTTGCACAGCGCAACACTTGGAGTATGCAGTTACGCGGCCGTCCATTCGAGACCAAATTTCCTTCAAGACCGCTTTGATTCGGTCTCTCCATCTTCTCTGAGAACTGCGGCTAATACGCCGCATGAGATTTTTTGCTCTACCTTTGCTCAATCTATCGATGTGGATGCCAGGAGTCAAAAACAACTTGATGGCACATAATCGATTAATCAATCAATCTTTGCTTGATTCCTAAGGAAGAGCAGAGTCGAGATAACAGATGCAATTCCAAAGGCCTTCTTCCATCATCAGAAAATGAATATTTAGGGCAGTGTTGTCCAAACTTGGCCACTTTAAGATGAGTGGACTTCAACTCCCAGAATTCCCCAGCCAGCATGCTGG